AAATTGTGCCGTCTCAAAAGGTCACATTTTTTGCGACGGCAAATGTGCCGTCGCAAAAAGTTCCGTCTCATAAGCCCACTTTTCTTGTAGTATTACTTAAAAAGTGTGATTAAAAAGTAGTAGTGTATATATAATCACACTTTAATTAGAAGGTGTGATTAAAAATATATATATATAATCACACTTAATTGAAAAGTGACATAAAAAATAAATATTATCACACTCAATCAAATTAAGTGTGATTAAAATATCAATCTAATTTTTTTTATCACACTTCCAATAAAAGTGAGATCTTTTTTTTTTGTCAAAGTGTGATCTTTAACTATTTTTGTAGTAGTGTATATTTTTTGGCTTTTGAATTAAATTAAATGTAACTTCTATTGAATGATTAGTTTTTATTAGTTTTTCTGAAAATTCTTTAGTTTTTTAATCATATTTGGATGTTTACTGAATGCTTTAATAATATTTTGTTATTGTTTCAAGTGGATGTTTATGCAATCAAATCAGCTGTTAATCAATTTAAGAGAGAGATCCTTGTTGATTTTTGATGTTTATTTTCACCAAACTAGTGTTCAGTATTTTTTAAAAAACAAGTTTTGAGAACAAACCAAAACTTCCAAATGTGCTCCTTAATGTTGTATTTCGAATGGTCAAGTTGTATTTAACCTCGCATTGTACATTTGCAGGAACAACTTAGATTAAAAACCTTGATGAGAATATTGGTGCCTTGAGAGTGAAGCTCACAGAAGATTATTTAAAAGAGATATCTGATTCAGTGCCCATCCTCGAGATTGCGGGGCCTAGAATATATAAAAGTTTTACTTGTGTCTCGTATATTTTTGCAGATACACCACTGTCAAAGAATTCCAAGTGATTGGCTTTATGTTTTTTTTTGTGATGGAATTAATGTTAATAATGTTTTTGTCAATTTTGTATTTCCTCTTGTAGCTGGTTGTGGCTTTGGTGTGTTGTCTTAACAACATTGTGGCCACTGCAGCTGAAACCCGCGCATGTTTGGATGTGTTCCGATGGTGTCAAGTTCGGGACATTCAAGTTCTTTCATAGATTGCTTATGGTTGGTCGAACAGCTTCGTGGTCCATCATCATGCGATTGGGCCTCACAACCGCTAATTTTGGAGATTTGATCTTTATTTAATGGTTTTGATTATGTAAATATATGTAAGGTAAGTCGGTAGGTAGTCGAGCTGGCTCATGTTTTTGCTAAAACTGTCCTTCGTGGCAGTTAACAAGTAATATTTGGTTATGTCTATTATGAAAGTTGGTTTGGCTTAAGATTGTGATGTTAGTGTATCTTTTGGCTAAGCATTTTCATAGTATAAGATGAATGAGATATGAATACCAAGTTTAATGCCCAAAATGTAGCCCCATAATTGAGAAAAATAGAGGAAACTCTCTTTTAAATCTTTTTTTGTCGCATGATATGAGACTAGTAGGTTAATATAGTTAAATTACTATAGTAGGTTTTACGCCATTGTATTGACTTGAATTGTAGATCTCACTTCCCTGACAATTAAGTACTCTAATCATCGGTTATAGTTCGATTTCATCAAAACTTTGGCGATAGTGGAAGAGAGGACTTTCGTTTGTGTCAATGGCGATGACCGTGGCGGCGTTGTTGGTATTGGTGGTGGTGGATTTTGGGCCAATATTTCCTTAGTCTACAAAAATGTCAAGTTTTAACCATTCAACTAGTGACTCTCCTTGTAGCATTTCTTATTAACCACCCAACTCTCTGCAACACGTTCTCTGCAACATGCTCAGTTTGGCTTTGTGCTCCTTGGCCTCATGGAGGAGCTTAACTCAACCATCAAGTGATCTCCTATAAGGGGTGTTTGGGAAGTTCGGTTGGAAGAATTTTTTTGGTTAAAATAGTTAATAAAGAGAAAAATAGTTTAAATAGTTAATAAGATAAAATGTTACATTTAAATTATAATTATTTAATTTTTTTTCTCTTACAATCATCAAATCAATTAAAAAAAAAAGTCAACTATCGTCTCAAATATAACTTTTTTAATCAAATTAAAATAACCAAATAATTAAAAAACCAACTAAAATAGCAAATATATATTTTGACAATAGAATGGATGTTCATAACAATATATATTATCACAATTAAAAAAGTAATAGCCAATAGTAGCAGTAATATAACCACACATCAGTCTTTTATACATAAATAATAAAAAGAGAAGTCATCGGAAAACCAAATACAACAAACATGACAAGCACGCCAACATGACAACAAATAGAAGGAAAAAAAATTAAATAAATAAAAAGAACTCCAAGTCTCCAACAGCACAACAGGCACGCACAAGCATCACCAACCACTTCCTTTGTTTCCTCCAACTTTCATTCCTGTTAAATAAATAAAATGAAAAAAAAAAAAAAAAACTAAGTTGCAAGAAATGTGTTAAAAATAAAAAATGAAAAACAAATTTCTTAAAGATGTGTGTAAAAAATGATATCAATTATCACAGGAGTGAGTCAATTACTATATACCGATTATCTTACTTGAGGTAAGACATGTGTTAACGTGGAACTATGATGTGGAGATGCTATCTAAAATATAGCACTACCGCTTTATTTTTTACACATCATCAATATTAATTTGAATCATAACTAATGCATATTATAACAGGATTATCCCATTTTCTAAGCACAATTTTTGAGATAACTGAATAATATCTCTTCGGAAATCTTTTTATTTGTCGAACTCACTAAACTAGCAAGGAACTAAATGCTTGGATTCATCATTTGGCAGATAAGAAAACAAGTCCACATATGAATTAGTTTAGTAAAAATAAAAAAAATAAAAAAAACTCCTAAAACTCTTGTTTTGTTTCTCACCAATTTTGGTGAAAAACAATAGTTGTATAAAAAAAAATCAAAATACTTGAACTGTCTATCTAGATACAAAACATTGATAATAAAAAGACATATGTTTTCACGTTCAAAAAAAAAAAAAAAAAAAAAAAAAGACATGTGTTTTCTCTTTCTAAACCCACTTTCTAGATCAATAATGTGTCAACAAGATAATTGGTTGATAATTAAAGAATAAATGAGAGAGTTAGAAAGTGAATCTAATTTTTGGCCCTCAATAGTAATATTTAAATACCATTTAATGGGACTTAAGACTTGATTTGATTTGATTTGGTTTGGTTTGGTTTAATAGTAATATTTAAATAAAAAAAACACATGTATTCTCTTTTATTTTGGTTTATCCAAACACAATGATAAGAAATCATAATTATTTAATTATTTTTTTTCTTTTTTCACCTAAGTACTAGAAGAGAAATCATAATCACATTGTTTGGTTCCAATTTTTTGAATTCAATTTTTTGAAATTTTTATTTTTCGTATTTTTAATGAATTTATTTAATATTTTAAGTGATTTTTTTACTTTTTAAATACACTTAATATAAATACAAATAAAAAGTATAATATTTTTGAAACAAACTTTAAAAAATTCACTAAATACCAAAAATACAAAAAAAGAAAAAGAAAATTCAATACATGTTTTTAATATTTTAAGCAATTTTTTTTTTTTTAAACTTTTTAGATGTACCTAAAAAGTAAATATTTGCAAAAAAAAAATATTGAAAAAATAATAAGAATACAAAAAAAGTTTTTTTAAAAAAAATGCTTATAGTATTAAAAAAATTCCCTAAAAAAAAAAATCAATTTTTTAAAAGTGAAATTCAGAAAATTAGAACCAAACAATGAATCTTATTTTATTTCTCTACTCACCTAGCTAATTTACCAAACATACATTGTTAAGAAAACACACACATATACATACTATATATTTAATTATACATGGTACAAATAAACTTTACTATAGCCTGCCTATCCAGTTGAAAAGCTTTATTAAGTTAAACCAGAACGTATAGAAAGTGATCTATAAGAAAGGAAAGCTTTTATTTACAATATATTTTCTGGCAACAACTATTACTCACCTGTAACTTGTTTTCTTTGTTAGTAGGGCCACTCATCATACCTTGTGACATCCCAATTTTTGGGGACAGGGATGGACCTTAATCTCTCTGGGATGCTAACCTTGTCACAGAAGTACAAACCCAAACCCCGAAGCAGAGGCATTCCTCCTTCATCCACTTGTAACTCCTTCACATCACCCCCGTAAATAAATAGAATTTCGAGTTGAGGGAACCCTCCTGCAGTGCAAGCAAATTTATATACGGTGTAATTCCACAAGTCAAGAATTGTCAGCTTTGGAAGTTTCTCTAATGACGGCATAGGATCTTCCTCCATTTCCGATCCCTCCAAGGAGAGGTATTTGAGATTCGGTAAGAATTTGTGCATCTCTGTTGGTAGATTTCCTATTTTTTTATGTAACTTCAATTGAAGGAGGTGCTGGCATTGAGAAAGTGGTTGCAGTGTAGGATTCCAAACAGTGCCCCTACTCACGAGATATAATGTTCGGAGGTTTCTTAATCTACCAATAGAGTCTAGAGTGAACCCCTTGCTTTCTCCATTAAATGATACGCGAAGCTCGCGAAGATTGATTAAATCCCTTGATGGATTAAATTCCATCCGGTCATTAACCACAATGTAGTTTAGAGTTTGAAGGTTTGTTAGGCTTTCCACTGGGAAAGGCCACTTGAAGCATCCAATTAAATGTCTCAACTGCTTTGCATTGCATATCTCATCTGGTAACATAATTGGCCTAAAAATTTTGGTACATTCCAGGGTTTGTAGGGCTTGCAAGTTACCTATGGATGGTGGAATCTTGTTTATTTTGCGGTCACTTATCCTAAAGTACCTCAAGTGAATCAACTTCTCTATTGCATCAAGTAAGCTTACATGCTCTGTTTCTTCTTGGGAATGATTGAATCTAATTTCCTCAAGATCTAACACTCTCAACAATCTCAATTTTTTGTACAGAAATTGTAACTCCCCTATTTCGGCGGATTCATTTTTCAAGTTGAAGAACAAAAGGGTTCGTAAATGCAAATTTGATGACTGATCAAAGGAAGCAAACCTTTTTAGTCCACAGCTATGAGAAGCTAGTCTTCGATGTTTGCAGGGAGAGGGTGTGGAATAAGCATTTCCATCATAGATATGAAGGAAATTTAACTCCTTCGACTTTTCAATTGCAAAATCCCGAAGAAGATCATGAACTCGGCATCTTCTAATTCTCATCCAGTTTCTTTGAGCCACTTGAATCAAATTTCTATCAATCAGCTCATTTAGATATTCTGTAGCTCTCTCCTCTAAAGTTTCTCCTGCGGCTTGTTGTATGAAACCTTCTGCCACCCATAACCGTATAAGTCCATCTGCATCAATTTCAAAATCTTCAGGGAACAACCCCAAGTAAAGAAAGCACGGCTTCAAGTGATGAGGCAAATCGGTGAAACTTAAAGCCAATATTTGTGTAACATGAGCCGAGTCATCGCTTTCAAAGTCGTCACCGCTTACATGCCGCCAGAAGCGACCCTGCAACTTGGGCCACTCATCGGGATGTTTTCTTGACAATAGCCCACCCAAGACGACTATGGCCAGGGGTAAGCCCTGGCATTTTCTGACCATATCTCTTGCCAATTCCTCCAAGCTTGGAGGGCAACGATTTGTTTTATCATCGACCCCATCATAGTCCGGAAACACTACTATCTTACAAAATAATTCCCAACTTTCTTCTGGTTGTAGAAATGGAAGCTCATGAACATATTTTCTCCTACCAGAACTCTCGGCAACAAGTTTGATACGAGTGGTGATAATTACTCTACTTCCTTTCTTGTTGTCTAGGAGGGCTCTCCTCAAGCTTGCCCAAGCATCTGTATCCCATACATCGTCAATCACGACCAGGTATCGACTTTCTTTCAACAACACATGTAAGTGGCGCTCCAAATCTTCTTTTTCCATCTTTTCCAACTTCTCCAATTCATCTTTGGTGGACGTCTTGAAAGATTTTATTGTTCGTCGAAGAAGATCCTGGATGTTGTAATCCTTGGATACAGAAACCCAACCTTTACATTCAAATTTATCTCCAACACTGCTAGAGTTGTAAAGTTTTCGAGCTAAGGTTGTCTTACCCAAACCGCCCATGCCCACAATCGAAATCACACGTTGATGGGGCGTTTCTTGGAGAAGTTCAGATGTCAGTAACTTAACATCCTCGGTGAAGCCCACAACATGTTGGTCGTCTTCATAAGGTGTTGTCCTTCGTATTTGCTTAAATCTCTCATTCATGCTACTTGATCCTTCCCCAGCACCTTCGATATTTCTAATCTTGAAAACTTCCTGATTTCGACAGATTTCATCGAGTCTGTTCGTCAATTCTTTGATCTCCTTACCTATCCCATACATGCTTGCTTGTTTGTAGATGCAAAAGTACTTTCTGAGGCAAGCTTTGAACCCAACCTTTTTGTAAAATATATTGATAGAGATAAATTGTATGTATTATTGATTGATATATTGATTTATTCTATATGTTTACAAAGAGATTTACACTCTCTTTATAGAGAGGAGAAAGCCAACATTGGGTGCCAATTGAGGCACCGAAAGCATAAAGCAACATAATGTTGTACTAAACATAATGATAATACTAGCAATACTAACATAGAATACTAACATCACTAACATATAATACTAACATATTTTAACAGCCCCCCACAAACTCAAGGAGGATAGGTACTAACCAACTTGAGTTTGGAGAGAGTAACAAAACAAAAAAATAAACTGAAAAATAAAACAGGATAGGAGACACGGTATGGTCGTGTCAGACCGATGTAGCAGACAGTTTATGGGGTCATGTCGGACCGTTGTAGCAGACACTGTGTGGTCGTGTCAGACCGATGTAGAAGACAGTTTATGGGGTCATGTCGGACCGTTGTAGAAGAACAGTTTACGGGGTCATGTCGGACCGTTGTAGAAGACAGTTATAGTGGTGGGAGTGTGTTGCAAAAGGTTTGGAGTGTGGTGGTGGGATGTCTCAGGTTCGAAACCTGCGAGCAACAGGTTCAACATGTTTTTTTTTTTTAAA